TGGAGCTGATGTATACTTATGTCTTAAAGGGGAATCCCACACTTATTTAATCACAAGAATTATTACCCAGCTTGTAAAAAATAAATAACATTTGACAGAAAATAATTCAAGATCACCAGGATATTTTCAACTTTGGCTTAAACACTACAAATTCTTAGCTGAAAGTCTTACATAGTGGGCCTTGTAAGTTTGTAAGATGTAGGAGTTTATCAGTCAGGTGGGTGAAATTAAAGATGCAAGTGAGTTGCATTATAGGAAAAGTAAGTTTCAATGTATTTGTAACTCAAATCATACTAGGGATAAACAATATATCCAGGGCCTCTGCTTCTTCAGTTTTTACCATTAGTTTTTTTTATTTTATTTGACAAGTTCCCTAACTTCACTGTGACTGGGATATTCCTTTAATAATTAAAGCTACAAACCAGTGCTTTTAATTCTTCTAAATGGATACTGAGACTGGTAATAAGATAAACCTCTTAATAGTCTGCTGGGATCTGTTGGAGCTACTCTTCCAGTTTAGGAGTCACATCTCCAAATGCCTCTACCACTCTAAATTCCTGGTCCTATCTGGTTTGGTAGACCCCTGCTTCGATTGATCTGGTACTTAGTGCCTGTTCTTGTGCTGCTATGATCAGTGACTCAGTGCAGTGCTGTCCAATAGATCAGTCTTTTCCAGCCACTGGTAGGATTTCGTAGTATCAGCCACCTCAGTTATCTGTTGGTACATCCCATGCAGGACATTGTAATGCCATGACACTTTCTCTGGTTGGTCTTCAGTCCCAGTCTGTTGCTGTCTCAAACTTTCTCTCAGCAGCTTGTTTTTGGCTGTTGGTAGCTCTGCTCTTGAACTTGTATCTGTACCCACTTATTTTGATGATCTGATTTAGGGGGTTCAGGCCTATATAGAACAGCAGCGGAGACGGTGCTTTACCTTGCTACAGTGCCTTGCGAAAGTATTCGGCCCCCTTGAACTTTGCGACCTTTTGCCACATTTCAGGCTTCAAACATAAAGATATAAAACTGTAATTTTTTGCGAAGAATCAACAACAAGTGGGACACAATCATGAAGTGGAATGAAATTTATTGGATATTTCAAACTTTTTTAACAAATAAAAAACTGAAAAATTGGGCGTGCAAAATTATTCAGCCCCTTTACTTTCAGTGCAGCAAACTCTCTAAAGAAGTTCAGTGAGGATCTCTGAATGATCCAATGTTGACCTAAATGACAAAGGATGATAAATAGAATCCACCTGTGTGTAATCAAGTCTCCATATAAATGCACCTGCACTGTGATAGTCTCAGAGGTCCGTTTAAAGCGCAGAGAGCATCATGAAGAACAAGGAACACACCAGGCAGGTCCGAGATACTGTTGTGGAGAAGTTTAAAGCCGGATTTGGATACAAAAAGATTTCCCAAGCTTTAAACATCCCAAGGAGCACTGTGCAAGCGATAATATTGAAATGGAAGGAGTATCAGACCACTGCAAATCTACCAAGACCTGGCCGTCCCTCTAAACTTTCAGCTCATACAAGGAGAAGACTGATCAGAGATGCAGCCAAGCGGCCCATGATCACTCTGGATGAACTGCAGAGATCTACAGCTGAGGTGGGAGACTCTGTCCATAGGACAACAATCAGTCGTATACTGCACAAATCTGGCCTTTATGGAAGAGTGGCAAGAAGAAAGCCATTTCTTAAAGATATCCATAAAAAGTGTTGTTTAAAGTTTGCCACAAGCCACCTGGGAGACACACCAAACATGTGGAAGAAGGTGCTCTGGTCAGATGAAACCAAAATCGAACTTTTTGGCAACAATGCAAAATGTTATGTTTGGCGTAAAAGCAACACCGCTCATCACCCTGAACACACCATCCCCACTGTCAAACATGGTGGTGGCAGCATCATGGTTTGGGCCTGCTTTTCTTTAGCAGGGACAGGGAAGATGGTTAAAATTGATGGGAAGATGGATGGAGCCACATACAGGACCATTCTGGAAGGAAACCTGATGGAGTCTGCAAAAGACCTGAGCCTGGGACGGAGATTTGTCTTCCAACAAGACAATGATCCAAAACATAAGGCAAAATCTACAATGGAATGGTTCACAAATAAACATATCCAGGTGTTAGAATGGTCAAGTCAAAGTCCAGACCTGAATCCAATCGAGAATCTGTGGAAAGAACTGAAAACTGCTGTTCACAAATGCTCTCCATCCAACCTCACTGAGCTCGAGCTGTTTTGCAAGGAGGCATGGGCAAAAATTTCAGTCTCTCGATGTGCAAAACTGATAGAGACATACCCCAAGCGATTTACAGCTGTAATCGCAGCAAAAGGTGGCGCTACAACGTATTAACTTAAGGGGGTTGAATAATTTTGCACGCCCAATTTTTCAGTTTTTTATTTGTTAAAAAAGTTTGAAATATCCAATAAATTTCGTTCCACTTCATGATTGTGTCCCACTTGTTGTTGATTCTTCACAAAAAATTACAGTTTTATATCTTTATGTTTGAAGCCTGAAATGTGGTAAAAGGTCGCAAAGTTCAAGGGGGCCGAATACTTTCGCAAGGCACTGTATATGCCACACTTGATGTTCACTTGTGCGATTGGTTCAGAGCTGACTTCCAGGGTTGTTCTCCACAGTCCCACTGAGTTCTTGATGAAGGTCCTTAGTGTCCTGTTGACTTTCTATAGTGCCAGGCAGATCCATGTGTGTGGCACTGAGTCTTAGGCTTTCCTGTAGTAAATCCAGGCTGTACTCAGGCTGGTCTGTCTGGATCTTAAGTCATTGGATTGGTGACTGCTCTATCTATCAGCAGCTGGTGTTTTGAGCCTCTGGTGGTGTTCCTTCTGAGCTGTGCTCATATACTGGTTCGTGTGGACCTGTAGCTTATGTACAGCCTGTAGCCTGATAGGACCTTCCATGTTGTGGAGTGGCAGGTTATTGGTTGTTGGATGGTGTTGTTCGCTTGCAGAGGTCTTTCATTATCAGCACTCTCGTCCCTTGTGTTACCCAGTCTGGGTGAGGGCCTGCTGCTAGCAGCTGGTTCATCTGTGCTGCTAGGCCTTTGTGCACCACTATTATTTTCTTTAGCTAGGAGCTGTGGATCATGTCTGGAATGGGCAAGTCATCTTGATCTTCTACATAAAGCAGCTTTGTCACAAAAATTTGTTAAGTCTGAAGGTCTGTGGCTAGGACTGTGATATGTTAAGCCCTTCTCCAGCACACTGGATTTCAAATGAAAGGAAAAAAAAAACTGATGATTAACTTAAGGGGTATTTGGGTTTGTTTACATCAGTCTAGGACTTATGAACCTTTTCACCCTAAGGGAATATGAATAAAAAGGACTACAGTTTCTTTACAGTTTATCTACTGTAGTGTGGCTGTAAACACCATCAAATTAAAGATGGGAGTCATCACTTTCACCTCATAGCCATTGTTTCATTCCAAATTTAATGTGTCAAAGCACAGAGCTACAACAATCCATCATAATGCCATAGAACCTTTGTTGAAACAACTTTAAGAACTACGAATGAATTATGGTTGTATGATATACTGCACAAATGTTGGATATATATGGAAAGAAACATATAATGGAGTGTAGCATATGTCAGCAAGAATAAAAATTTCTTAAGTTTTTCACTCACTACACAGGCTTAATCAATCAGTCTGTGCCTCTTGTCTCCTTTCTATTCACAGATTTCTCTCTGCCTTCTGCCATTTCAATTATGACAGCAACTCCCCAAATTTCTGGTTTTCTGATGCAGACTTGTTCAAAAGAGGTCTAGTCTGCTGCAGAACAACTGTGCTGTACCTAAGATTGAAAAACTGATGAATTAATTTGTGAGTAGCAGTGCAGGGGTGGCTCAGGGCTGATACATTCATCCTAGTATGTTCCTAGACTAAACTAAATCCTGACAATAACATAAACACATGAATCCCCTTTGAGCTCTCAGGCATCTTGAAAAGAAGAAAGTCTCTCCTGATAAGACAGAAGCTCTCTCTCTTTCCTCACAGCCACTAGGCTAAGAATGAAAACATAAATATAAATGAACTTAGAACTTGCAAGTACAACATGCCTGTGACTTTGCAGCCCTAACCATGTTTTTAATATTATGCTTGTTTGTCTGAATGTGCATAATTTGAGCATTTAGTTCTTGTTGTTCATTTTTTCTATTAATTGAATATAATGAGAAGATTGAATTTATTTTTATGATGTTGACAGTTTAAATGAATGGGCTGTGCACATGTTTGCATCTGTTATGTTGCTTAGATCTTATTCACATTACATTGGTTTTGAATATCAGCTAGAATCAGAGTAATACAATTCATCACTGATAATTGATCTGGACGAATTTTAGGATATACAGCACTAACCTTTAATCCAAGGTTCAAACATGAACATTGTGTTGAATATGAAAACATCAGTTATTCAAGCTTTAAAGAAATAATTAATTTATATTCTACAATAAACAAGAGGAATTTCGGTTTATGTGGATACTTCCCTGGAATCATTCCCCTCCAGAGATCAATTTATAGCTGATGTAAATTCTTGGATGTAATCAAGCGAGAAGTACTTAACAGAACAAAACAAAAAAAAAACAAAACAAAAAAAAAATTCAGGTATGCAGTTAAACAAAAACCTTGCAGGTTACTTTCAACCCAAACAAATCTGCCAATAATAATAGTAATAATAATAATAATAAAAACAATATCAATGGGAACACATTTATGAAATATTTAAAAACAAAGAAATACCCTCAAGACTTAATAAATCGGTAAAACAACTGAAAAGTTTTCATAAAAGGTCAGTGCCACATTCACTGAAGCTCAGTTCTGTGTTTTTATGGGAATTACCAGCAAACTGTCTTTGATCGATCAGTTTGCTTGGCTAATACTACCCACTGTGCAATCACCTGCAGTATCAGGTGTGTTGTTAAAATCAATGAGAAGTTGTAAAAAAGTTAAAAAACAAACATTAGGGAAAAAGAAACATGAGCACTTACTGTATTGGCAGTTCCTCCCCATGTACTCCCCTGGGCATTCGCAGGAATAGTTGGCAACCAGATCTGTGCAAATGCCCCCGTTCTTGCATGGGTCCCTTTCACATTCATTGATATCTGGAAGAGTCGAGAAAGAAGAAAAGAAAAGTGCATTCATTTATTTGAAGCTGACATGTAGACAATTAAAAAGACCTCATCCTCATTAGAATGCATTGGTAGGGAGCATACATTGACTTTTTCCTATTATTTGATTGTGTCTGCCCATTGAAACTCTCACAAAGACACTTATTTCTTGAAACTACAGTAATAAATCACATACCTGCTCGAGAGCTCACTAATGCTAGAACAGAGACCCAAGTTTTTAGATGTTAAGAATAATTAACTTAATGTACTTTTTTTGTAATTTAGGTAATTCACCCAGTGTGCTTTGCAACGGGAGCACTGAACAGAAACTATGCTTGCTTAATTCTAACAATCGCTACTGGACAACAGTTATAACATTTATAACAATTGTTACCATTTGTTGATTACAGTTACTGATGTTGGCCAGTTAATAGAAATGTTAGAATAATGCTAGATTAGCTATTAGAAAATGAATGATGTTTGTAAGAATAAAGAATTAAAATGTCGATTAAATCAACTTTGGCTGTTAAGCAAAGGTTTTCACTGGGGTTTTGCACATGTAAAATTGAAAAATTAAAATACTTAAGCAGAAGAACTACCTACTTATTTTGTTTAACCATTACTTAGTGGCAAATCACATGAACTGCAACTGGACCCATTTATTGTGAGTAAACACCTGCACTAAACTGCAAATAGCAATGACACAAAATTTTGTACCACTGTTTTGTAAACTTGCATCCTCAGTCCTTTCACTCACAGAAACAAAAACAAGATCAGAATAGACTATCGATATGATAAATTATTACCAGTTAACATCTAGTGTACAGCCATCTTTGCTCTTTAATTGCTCTCTGAAGTATCTGATTGATTCAGACTGACTGACCCCCCCCAGCTGCACCCATCTCAGCCATTTACACTCGCTTCTATTAAAGGCCTGCTACAGAAACAGTTAGGTGAAAGGAGATTATGACAGTTACAATACTTAATCATACTGGACTACATTACATTTAGAGGTGTGTCTATATTTTTGGCCCCCCTCACCTACATGCCTGAGTTGGTCAGAATATTAAGAACACCTTTGAATATACTGTAGTCCAGTACCATCATGAACTATGACCTCCATAACAAACATATAATTGAATTTATACATTTGTGACAATTTCACCAAAAACTGAAATATTTTGAGCTTCAAATACACACACATCTCTCACTCTCTCTCCACTTTTGTTTATTTATTTATTTTTTGCTATATGGCAATTTCAGTGAAGTAAAGATGATGCTACAAATGTGATGTGACTCAACTTGTTTATCTGCATCATTGTTGGAAGGACTGAAGAAAACATTCATACTAGTCAGCATGCGTCTTGTGGCAAAAGAGTTGAATTTCACAAAAACACTACTCTTGAAAGACAGACACCAATTATGTTAATCAAACACTAACTGCAGGGTTCACTCGGGTTTGATTATAATGGAACATGTAAATTATAACTGAGAAAGGTATTTACCTCATTATTTGCATTATCAAGCTGTGAAGATTCATACATATGACATTCATTGTTAGGGGTGTTGCCTTATGTTTGCATTTTGCCATTGCACAGATGGTTTGTGATGGGCTACTTGTCTGTTTGTGCAAGTTGATGTGTAGCTGTTTTTCAGTGTCTATTCCCCAAGACATTTTCAAAGCAATTTAATACAAAGCCATTAAAGCCCCAATTTGCAGTTTGTGCATAGCCCTCCTGTCCCCAAAATTACATCAGGGTTAGCTCAAAATTTGTCTGCAGTCTGCTGGGGACCATGTAGTTGAGTCTCTGTGGTTTGCATCATGGAGGCTCAACGGTTATGATACTAAATATGGACTCAGGCTTAAAACGGAAGGTTGGAGACATTTGGAGACTTACTCAGACATTTGCATAACTAAAAAAAAAACCAGAATTCTAACTGAACATAATAAAATAGATAAGATTTATCTGATGTATGTTATTGTATAAAATTATAATGAAAAATATATTTGGTCAGGTATTTTGTCAAGATCTAAATTCTGCCTGATTGCATGTAAGGAAGCTAATCACTCAAAGACCAGGTCTGTCATTGATGAGGTGGATCTGGGAGGTTCAACCATCTCTCTGCTTGCTACATTTAGACACAAATTATACACTAATCAAGTTTAATTGTACTTCTCTGTAACTGATCCCAGTAACTATATTGTTTCAGATGTGATTCAGAACCATGCTTAAAGCCAATTTCCACATTTACCTGTGCTCTTTCTTTCTTTCCTATGCTCCAGCCTTGACTGTAACTGTGCTATGATCAGCCAGCACATGACTGTCTTATGTAATTACAAAACAAATAGCAGCCAGCAAGACTACAAGAAATTAGCCTCCTACTGACAACACATTTTTAGCTCAGAAATGAATAAACAATCACTTGTCAGAAGGAAGCATCTTGATTGTGGGAGGTTACTGCAATCAAGGGGAATTATTTTTTTAATTATTTCCCCTTCAAGGGGCGTTACAATTCAGTTAAAAACCTGCCTTGATGTATAAAGAAACACAATGGTCAATCCTTGTTCAGCAATTCAGCTCTTCTGTTATTTTAATGGCTCTAATCTTCTAGAACCACTAACTGTTAACAACTGTGCCAGCAACAACAGAAATACTACTGTTATTAATCAAAAGAAGAAACATCGTTCATGCATTTTGGAGCAGAGTAATTTTCTCTGTGAATATTTAGTCTTTACTAATTGCCTTAATGGAACACTAAAATGGAGACGTGATTTTACATGTGTAAACACTGAGATATAATGCGACAAGTGAATGTAGGTTCATCTCTGGATAAATACAGTAGCATTAATGTGAATATCTGAACATAAATAGCTCAAATGATGCAGTCACACAGCTTACTTTTTAGTATAATATGTGGAATGTGAAAAGTGTGCCCTCTATAGAGACTGTTTACTTAAATCTATATATAGAAACAGGTATGCAACAGAAAACAAACAACCAAACAAAACAATGAGATCTAGTGTAATCTACTGTTATGTCACCACAGCAATAATGCTGCTTAGTAAAGTAATGTTGTTATATTTAAAGTTCATATCCTGCTTTGTTGTCATTACTAGGTTCAAATACAGAGGTGAGCCAAATGGACAAGCTACTCAAATCGCCTGAAGCGCAACACGTACCACGATGAGAGCTAAACACAGCTGACCCATCTTGCGCTTTGCTTCCGTTTTATGAGGGGCCATCAGCCCTGGGAGATCAGTGCAGAGAAAATGAGACTTAAAAGCAGTGTATTGCCAGTAAATCAGGTGGGAGAAAGGGGATTACTTCAGGGACCGCAGTTAATCCACCTGGTAAAAACTAGACAAGAGCGGAGAAGAGATGCACAGAGAGGATGGGAGGGACAGAGAGTGAGGGGAGAGGGTGAAACATGTGCTAGCCCATTGGTCAGATAAATAAACGTCTTTAGCATTCTGAATTTAAATGTCATTAAAGCCGCAAACTAGATAAAAACAACATTTTGCAATTGATGTCTTCAATTTAATTTGAGGGGTGCTTTCACAGTTATAATGATTTAACAAGCCAGTTCAACACACTGGTCCTCCAGTAATAATATTTTAATGAAGCTTCGTTCATTTTTCGTTCGTTCAGTTTTTGTTCAGACTTTTCTAACAAGTGCATTACAATGGATTGTAATACTTTTCAAAGTGTTAATGCCATTTGCCCTCTCACTGTATTTAAAATAATGGAGAAAGTGTAATACAATATATTTTCACTATCTACAGATCAACAAATAATAGTGTCCAAAAGAAAATGAACAATATAGTGAACAGTACAGTAATGTAAAAGTGTTGGCTTCATTTTAACCACCACTTTAGTTTCACATTAATGACTAGATTGTACATCACTGTGAAATTTAATAAATTAATTGGTTGTTAATGCGGGCATATTGAAATTAAGATTAATAAAGGTAATCAGGAAATACCATAGACTTCATCAGTGTGTTGCACAATACCTCATAAAAACCTCAACCCTGAAATGTATTTCTTCAGTATCTGGACAGACCCTCATCAGGCTCTCACCGGTTCACTGGAATGTCTTACTCACTGGCTTTGCACCTCTCTTGCTTCCCAAAAAGTGTCTCAGTTGAACAATAATGAGAGCAATGAATAGCACTATGTGTCAGGAACTACCGCTGGCTGCCAGTGCTAAATTGGCTACGGTGTGTCCAGGGAGCAGGAACAAGGCTGGAGAGGTCACCTGCGTCCTCTCCAGTGGGCTGCACTGACCTCTACAGAACCTACACCAGCTGCAGCCACACAAACACACAGCCCAATGAATCCGCTTCCCAGTTCAGTCAACAGTAGAGGTACCGTGTCCAATATGAACAAAGACGGGTCAGAACAACACCATTTAACATCTAAAGTGACTGGTGTATAACATTTGTAGGTACATTTTTAGGCTGTTCAAAGCGCCAGAGCTGACTATGGCTAGCAGTTAAATCTAGGCTGCAGAATGTCAGCCCCTGTGGATGTTTGTTAGCTAGATTGTCCAATAAGTCAATGTGCAAGACAAGTTGTGTGTCCATGCTTGTAGATGAGAAAGTGACATTACAGCTAGAAAGCTAATGTTTGCTATGGTTCACAGCTTTTGATTCTTGTTTGTGTACAGGCTGCTGTTTGGCTGTCGGGCATGAGACAGCATCATGCCAATGATCAAACAACAACGATGACTGCTTTATGCAAATTCAGAAAAAAAAATACAAAACAAACAAACAAACATTTTGAGTGGCTACATGCTCATTCTCCATCTTTGGTACTATGTGCTTTCCCATCAGTAGATTACAGAGGAATTAGAATTTACAGAACTGACTTGTATTAAAATCAGCAATTTAATTTCGGCTGGACCTACACTTAGACATGCAGTAGCAACATCCTAAGTCCAAACTGATGCCAACAACAATAGGATTCACACAAACGATTGAAATAAATGCCT